AATCATCAACGCAGACATCAATCAAGTTGAACAAACCAGCTGCTCACTTTATTGAATATTCTTTATCTGTCTGTATATTACATATGAGAACGACCTGAATAACAGCAGCCTTAGCAATTGAAAACCTGCCAGGTGGGAAAACCATTTCATTGTATATAATGTTGAATGTCGACTTTCAACGGCAACATCACACAGAGTTCAGTAAAAGATATTTATTATTACCTGATTTAATATAATTCTTTCATTCATTCATAAGATAGTTCTTACATTCCTCACCTGATATGCCACCCTACAGTCACGGGTCAGAAAATTTTACAGCTGTAAGGTAGGCATAAATGTTTATTGAGAGGAAATTATTTTTCAGTTTATTAAGGTCCTCGGCATTTTTCGTACTTTAGCAAAAGAAGATTGTTAAAGATTTTTAACGAAAATCCAATCGTTTAAAAACCAAAAAAATGCTTTTACTCTGAAATGAGTATGCTAGCCCGGTAATCAATAGTTCGCCGAAGCGGATAAGAAAAGAAGCTCGCTTAAAGTTAAATTCACATTGAATGAAGTGTATTTTAATTGTACGCTGCTCATTTCTCAACGAAGATATGGGCATACACTTGGAACTTTCACAACAGCGGTACGGTATGAGTCACTGAAGTATTCATTTAACTTTCTAATGTTTCTTTCTTGAATTTATATAAAGAGTGCTGATGAATGCCTTTGATACTCGCCTCATAAAATCCTGTCTTTTTAATGCGATATCTTATAATCAGTTAGATATTTATCAAGAACGTGATACTGGTTGTTATTAAATTTTCAAGGCTTCGAACGAACAAAATACTTAAGCGTATGTAGTTAAATTCGTTTGAAGGAAGTAATGATTTTTGTAATATATACAAATAATACTATATTTTCAGCCTGTTTCTCAAATACATTAGCAGCTAGTTGTCTGCTTCCCACGACTTTGTTATCTTACAAATGCAAGCTAACTTAAACAGCGGTCAGTAACAATTACGTACCGATGTTACCTGGCATGCTCGTTTAAATAGCTCTTCCCTTTCCATTTTAAGGTGACTTCAAGATGCTGTGCATATAGCCAATACGGATATGATCGTTTAATGGCATCGCATAGACAAATGGTAGTCCGCTCGCGCCGGGGTTTTTACTTGTTCTTGCTTTGCTGGGTATTGTATGTTTTGCGCCTTAACCATCAGCCATTTCAACGACCTTTCGGCTCTCTCTTGTGTCGTGTTTTTACTAGCGAATCAACTAATCCCTGTAACTTTTGCTCACCCATGAATACTTCAAATTTGCTACTTATATCTAAAATTATTCTAATACTGGTTGCGCGTATGAAGTATCTATGCCAGTTGTTTATTAGATTATAATGCGGGGTGCTCAAACATTAAGCGATCTCTGTATTTTACTTTCTTAGTACCCCGAAATTGTGGGGGTGTTACTTGTTTCGATTCCAATCAAATGTTTAATGGGTTGCGTGACTAATCCAAGATACGTTATGAGCTGATTTCTCCTGTCGCAAAAAGGATGAAATTAGTATTTTCTTTTTTATAAACTAACGATACAAAATGATTTATGCGAATGCAATAAGGAAGGCCCTTTTGGATGGTACGAGTTTGTTAGCTTCACACTTCTGAGCCTTTTACCTCATAGCGATCGTGATCAGCGCGCAAATCACTGTAGAAGAGCATGTTAACAACAACGCGCTTTCTCATTAGACTTCTTCTGTTCGGAGGTATAGTTGACCCCTGAAGCTTTTCTTCATTTGAAGGTCATATAAGATCATCTCTCTTTCACTGGCACGTCTAGTTTGTTAGTGCGCGTTTTCTAGAGATCAGTGCGTGTTCTACATGACGTGACGCAACGTCGATACAATATTTGAATGTAAGCCCGGGACCAAAAAATTTACTACTCTTTGGTTACTTAATTAATTGGTTTTTCTTTGCACTTCATGCCCCGCTTTGCCGACGCGCTCTTTTGTATCTACCGCTTTCAATTTGTAAACCGCTTTCAATGTCTTAAATAGCAATGCCAGCGGTTGGTTTTGGTGACTAAATCACACCTCAGTATTCAGGATTTTACAATAAAGGCGGCACCATCACTTTTGGATAGTTTGGAATATTTGAAGTTAGAGTAGGATCTGTAGTGATGTTTGTTTGAAGATTCTATAGCTGTTATACATACTGCTCGGTGCACGAGAACCCCTAAAGTTTGTAACTTATGCTGTGTATACTGAATTTTGTTTCGAATTAATATAGTGTGTGACATAAGTCGTTCAAATATGTTGCTGCAGTTCGTGGTACTTGTTTAGCCTTAAGCTCTAACTACAACATTTGGGGATAAACCACACGTGGATCGGTGTCAGTTTATATCAATTACCCGTAAGTATTTATCACTCAGGCCGAGTGAGTTTGCGGATTATCTACTATGAATGTAATTCCAGCCGACATTCACGCCGTAGGGTATAATCGGGCTGGCTCGCCCCCTATCTAAACATCTAACGTGGTCTCATTCCATAGTAACTTTTTCAGATAGCTTATGTCTTGACGTGGCATAGCAGCGCAGCATGGAGTAATGGTAAATCTGACACTGTAAACAATCACTGCTGTGTATGTTTGTTTGCTAAGATCGTTATCGTTGTGAGCGTCATTACATTACTTTTCTGTAATTTTTTTAAAATTTGTATTCACTTGGCGGCAGGGATTATTGGCTATTTTCGAGCTATTGATCGTTAGAAAAAATTCAGGTCACTAGCGTATATAATTTTTTTTTAACCTTCACACCTTTGTACACTTAGCAAATAAAGAGGAGAACTGTATAAGAAATTATCCTTATAAGAGTTCCTCGATACAACGCATGTACCGCCAGCCCAGCTGTTGGGAGGCAGGCTACTCAATATAAAACTCTGGATTTTCAGCGTTACATTTTTATTGACGCAAATCACGTGTGTATCCCATGGCAGGACATAAACTAGCGAAATTTAATATATAGATTTTTTTTTAGCTAGGCACTTAGCGGAACTTTGGTCTCAAAACGTTAAACTGTAAATAAAACCCTTTAAGTACCGCCTATTAAGTATCAATCCATTCGATTTTGGAAATCTGACCAATAATTACGTTTTTTCTTCTTTTACGTCTTCTAACGTACAGTTCAAGTATCGACAACAATAGCCATCAGAAATTACTTATCTTCTGGCAGTTTATTAAGTATGGCTTCGTTACGCATGATCCGAAAACCCTAGTAAAAAGCACACAGACATGCTTACCTTAGTCACCGTTATCTTCTAAGGGAGAGTACACGTCGGCGTAACCAAGTCATTCGGTATCGTACGATCCACTGTGCTATCACTAACCAAAAAGTACGTAACCTTAAAAGGGATGAGGCGAAAAATGTGTGCGTCTATAATTAGTTTTTTCAAAACGTTCTCAAGTTTGTCTCGGCCGGAAAGTTTTTGGCGTTTTTTTTTTGTTATTTGTATTTTTTCTGCATGGCGCCACAGTCTCGTGCATTGTTGTGTTACATAGCCTACTATAGTTTATTCTAGGATTGCACAGAAGTAGAGCTCAGCGCGGATTTATATCTGGCCCATAACCTGGATTTATAGCCTAGCCTTTGGGATGAGAATACCGGGTTTGCACTGTACCTTTGATGTCCAGTAATCCCAAGCTAAAAATCCAGACAAACAGCCGCCTCGAATAACTGCGATGCTAGTCATAGTTCTGACCTGTTTGTTTCGGTTGCTGTTAAAAGGTTGACAGTGAAGTCGGATAGGGACCAACAAGGACCTAGAAAACCTCGAAACAACTCAAATAACTCCTATATATTCGGTTACTTTAATATCAGATATGCTTCGACCATCGAGTTCAACACCCCAATCCGCTTGAAATTAGACTAAGTGTTTTGTGCGCTTACAAATGGTTGCGTACTTTAGGAGCCTCCTTTTTGTGCCTTCTTGGTACCAGCATTGGAATTTTGTGTTAGTTGGTCATGGCACAATATATTTAATCGAGACGAAACAACTTACAATCGGTAACGCAACCATACGGCTTTTTCATCTTAGGAAAATATACGTAACGGTTATCATTTTTTATGTTCTGCACCCGCCCACTACTTTTTCCCAGCAAATGTAATTTTATTTTTTGGTATTTCCAATCGCGTTTTACTGTGAAGTTGCTTCTTGGGCGGAGCGAGGTATTGCTTTGCTTGTGTACCTCTAAGTTTCTATTATGCTTGCTGTTATTATCAATAAGCGTAAGAAGAGCGTATAAACAAAATTAATCTTAGTTTTATGCTTTAGCTGAGGGCTAGCTATGTAAGTGCTGCTGACCTTAGCCCATGGGCTTGATGTTATTAAATAAAATATAATACAATTTAAAATGCTACGTCGACAAGCGAGATTCTGTTTTCAGGGTTGTAAAGACGTCTACGAAATGTAATGTTTTGGAATGGGGATTATCGTGATCAATCAAATTTGGAATGAGGAATACGTTGCATGAACCCATTGGAGTAAACGATTGGTGAAGCCAAAACAGGGGGTGGCGAAAACCGTATTGTGTAAATCAATAAAATTGATTAATGTAGATGAGCATAAAGCCAATCCCTTATAGGTACCGATTCATTTATGATTTATGGCTCATTTCATCATATAACTAATAAACTTGATAAATAAACTAATAAAAAAATGCGCATTAGGATGGGGAATGAAATGTCTTCTATATGTCTGCGAATCAATTTTTTGCGTTTGATTACGTATTACGTGTTAGAACTCATTTAACATGCACAAAGTAAATTAAAATTCCTTAAATTGAAGAACCAGTGCGAAAATTTAAATGAAAATGTTCTAGTTCCCTTTTACCGTTAAAAAACGTGAACATTTCTTTTGTAGCTCTCCAAAAAAGTAACTTTGTCCTAAATTCTAAGAAACAAGTAAATGGTAGACAATATATTAGAGTTAATCGCTATTGTTTTCTGTATCTACTAAACCTTTATAGGTTATGCATGTTCATCGAATTGCGTGGCATGGCTCAAGAGGGATTGTTCCGTATATCCGGCAACGCAAGGCTCATTGACAAGTTGAAGTCGTCGTTCGACTCCCAAGGAGATGCACCGCTTGAGCATGAGGCCGACATTGCGTCTGCAGCGGGTCTTCTCAAAACATACTTTAGGTATGATTGCGGCCTTGTTTAGTTAAAAATTCAGCTCTCTGTTTACATCTGTATGAATTTTACCACAATGAGATATAGCTAAGCAGATTAATTTATTCAAAAATTACAATTACAATTACTGGCAATAAATCACCAGCGTATCTATTAAAAAGAAAGGTTTCTGAAACAATAATTTGCTGTTCATTACGTTGTCTCTAATTGATTCAACCTTACTGTTATTATTCCTAGAGAGCTGCCGGAACCCCTGATTCCAACTAAAATGTATCCGGCCTTTCTAGAGGCTACGCAATCTACACAGCACGATCCTGATCTTCGGATGGCTCGTCTGCGGGTTCTCATACAAACGATGCCAGAAGAGAACCTTATTGTGCTTCGTTATCTATGTCGTTTTCTTCATAAAGTGAGCCAACATGAAGAAACAACTCGAATGAATGCTTCAGCGTTAGGCATCGTTTTCGGACCAAATCTTTTCCGGTATGTAGGTTGTTTTATTTAGAGGCACACAAAGAATCATTGGCAAAAATGCCTAACAAGATCTTCCAAGCAAAAACCTATACCCGGAATAGTGGGACTACGTTCAGTTGTTGGAAAACGGAAACAACTATGTGATACAGCCGTGAACTGTAACGATATCCACGCCAATAAAATATTGTTGCAAGGAGCGCTGATCCTAGAACTAACTAGTTTTGGAAAATTACTAAGCGTCCTTCAAGATAGAATTTTAGGCCTAACAGCTTGATGTTTTTCCTAACACTGTGCCCGTCTTCCGCTTTCCTAGCTAATAAAATAACTCAATTTCATTTTTTTGCACAGATTCGCTGATGACCTCCAGGGTCTTCAAGATCAGGCAGTGACGAACCAGGTAGTGACAGTCTTGATTGCCAAATATTATGCTGTTTTCGAGCAACCTCTGACAGTCCTAATTCCGGGAACTTCGTCATCTACTGGAGGCAGCAGTGGATCGATAAATATTCCCGCCCTTATGATCAACGATGCTTTGCTTTCGCAGCAAAAGAGACGTTCATGTTCTGAAGAGCGGCCTCCATCTCCAGCTCAATTTTCGCTCGTTCGTCTCCGACGCTGTTCTTCGTCGGAGGACATCACGACTGGAATGGCAAATGCTTCGGTGAGATAATATATCGTTTGTTTTATAGCAATATCGAACGAACTACTGCAAGACATCTAATGCAACACATAATTGTACCGAAACTACACGTTGATAACCACCTGCTTTCGCAAACGGAAATACGTGTGTATTTGAGCATTGTCCTATGTTATGTGTAATGTTAACGATGCGTGCTATATCGTTGACTCCTGAAACAACGCCCAAGTAATCATTTGAGCTAAAAACATTGTGTCTATCTGTTGCGTACTGTTATATAGAAGCGACTATGTCTACCGAGTCAGATAAAAAGAATTCACTTTTTTTACGGGGTACACAGTAGTAACGGCATGTAACAATCAAATCTACTTAAAGCTAAAGTGCAGTGAACTTGATTCGCAGGCTCAGGATCACACCCCACAAACAGCGTTTACGGCCGGGGAAAAAGACAAACTGCTGGCGCAAGTTGAACCGACTCAATACGTCAATCAGCCGGAAACCACCGTCCAGACAGCCGCAGTTGCTACAGTGGTTACGGACGTTAGCGCAGAAGCCCGTGATGAGCCAGCAGCTTCATCGTGGACTTGTGCGTCAGACGTCCGGACACAGGAAATGGAAACTGATAGCGGAGTGGGTGGTGTAGATAGTCATCATGATTATTCGCCTGTCAAATGTCCTCGTGCCAGCGCAGAAGCATACGATTCAATTCCATCTCTACCGAAGCGGGCAGCTGTTACAAGAGAGGTAGGTTGAAAATAAATTTGGAGAAATATGTGATTGATCTACCGCGAGGAAGGGCAGGTATAACAAACATTAGATCGAGTGCATTTACTTCTGCCATCCTGATTATCTTTGCATAATGATGGCGGTAGAACACTGCTGCTTACAGGTATTTAGAGGATGATAAATGGTGCTGATCTGTCGGTCGTCACTGAGCTTCTAGCATGGTTCTTGTATGTGTTGCAAATTAGAAAAGTTCAACCTATATCTTACTGTGTATTAACGATAACAATTAAAGTTTACAGCCACCCTAGTCTTTGAAGCTCTGGACTTCTCATTTTTATGTTTATGAGCATATTTGAGCCAACCTAATAAAGGTGCCGTAACGTATAGATTTCCCAATTTTGAGGTTAGTGCTTACTGCTGAACCATAGACAAAGGTCGGTGAGGTTGAAGCAAATATCGATGAATTATTTACTGCTTAAATACGATTATGTTGCGGGAACTACATTCAGTTGTGCAATATGTAGCATAATCTTGAATAAACTAAAAAATGTGCTACCATTGAAGAAATATCGTGTAGGTGATTTCGAATGATTGGTTCTGTAACGTCATCATTGTAGAACAATAGACCCGTTTCAGTAACCATGTCTGTCTTCTAATGTCTAAGCCCTCCTCCACAAGACTGTGAGTACATATTTGTTTGCTACCAATCGTTTCTACCCGCAGACAGAAAAAAATATCTATTTAGATTTGAATTGTAATAGAAACGATGGTAAAGACTTAAACAGGCCGCGTCTAGCCAACAGGTCCGCAACTAAAAAACAGCTGTGGGCCATTAATCAAGCAAGCAAGATCAATGTAGTATCGGCGTTTCAAGGCTGTCATTGCATAACTAACACGTCTATCGGATGCGTCGTTCTCGAATAGTGTAAATATAGAAAACCGGCTCGTACGATGTCACAACGGCTTTTCCAAGCTAGCTCTAAACTTTGTTATTATCTATGCATCGGGTGACGGTTAGCGTTTTCACAAGAAATGGCTATATGACAGTCTAAAACGAACTCCCCAAACAGAATGCTCTCTATTAGTTGACTAAAGTAGAAAGGTGACCGCAAGCAAATTCAAGTAGGAAACATGTTAATCAGACAAGCGCAGCGCGCATTTCGTTGAAAGGCTACACTGTTTCGCTTCAATTTTATGTCCAAAAGAATGGTGCAAGCATCTTGTTATTTGATTAATCGAAGGACGTCACGGCTTTCCGTTCTGCTAGGCCGAGTTGTCATCAAATGTCCAGTCGACTTTCACTGTTAGGGATTTCAGTGAGAAAGTAATCGATAATGTAATCAGACACTTCAACTCTAATCGTCTTCGTTGCAAAACTCGTCTAAGTGGCGTTTCAACGTTTTTCTGAAACGCGCAAAGTTTGCCACACAATCGACGCTTTATCCCGGCTGTTTTTTTCTATGTGTTCATGCTTTAATAAAGTGCTTATCTCAGTTAGGTACTTCATAACGCATTTATCGTTGACTAGAAAGCAAAAAGTAGCACGTTCTCGTTCCGTCTGCGGACGTGTTTATAGGATAGCTTAGGGCGAGCCTGTAAGTATCGCTGCAGCCATAATTGTGATCATTGTTGTAATTATTCACAGTTATGTATTTTCTTCAGATCAAGACAGTAGCCATGGTTTCTTCTTGCGTTTGGTTCATCTGATGGCCGCGAAGCTGATAATGATGATGACGACGCAGACACGGTCGAGCGCATGCGTACTCTTGCGCCGCGCAAGATTCCGTTCGCTCGCTATTGTTGATCATGATGTCTGTACCGATGCGAATACGCACTACCTATCCGCCTGTGTCTACAGCAATGCCTATTTGTGTATGTGCACTTGGTTACTACTACTGCTGCCGCTGCTGCTACCACTACTTCTAAATTCTCTGCCAATGGCGTAGACTGCGGTTGTTGGGACAGCGGTGGCTGTTGTTGTCGGTTGTCGTCGGTTCAGTCTCTCCATCCACACATCTCTGGTCCCTCTTCCCGACCTGCCTCCTTCTCTCCAACTATGACGATGATGGACTGTTGTTGTTGCAACGGGCCCCGCGCGTGCCATCAGAACTCTCAAAAACACCACTTCTCCTCCAGCTGCGAGTGCAGACCCAGCAGAGAGAAGAGTGACATTGTTGCCTTTACTAGTACTCTAGCACAGACATCGCGATATATCTTCTTTATACACACTTTCTGCGCTTCACAACCGCAACATCTGTTACATTCAGAAGGTGCTATCTTTGTTGTAGTTGTTGACTTATCTTCAAAGTTATTCCGCAGCAGCAGCCTGGATCTGCGTGCCTGTTCATGGTGCATTTATCAATTGATATCGTGGACGACTTTGCTGAATGGATACATTTAGCAAGTAGCAAACTGTATTTTGATTTGTGACATAATGGGACCTACTGTTAGAGCGGGCCAAGGCGATTCTCATGAGGTACGACCCTGGATTCAGGTGAAACTCAAGAGCCTGCTTGGCTCCTTGCAGATTTGTCGGGAATTCGAGAGGACGTGCTGGCAGCCGTGTGGTAGGAAGAGAACTTTCTCGGATCAAGAAAAACAGCGTCCCGTGCTTGGCGCTACGAGAAAGGATTCCAAGGAAGCTTCAGTAAAAAGCTCATCTTCTCGAGAGCCAAGTTCTACGCTTCAAAGGTACCAGAGCGCGTCAGGCGACACCCTTAGCGTATCCTCAGAGAGCATGGAATTCATCGACAAAGGTATTTATTATCTATGTGAAGTCGTTAAGCACAATGAATACGGCGTCGTAGGTTCCTCATCAAAATATTCATATTTATAAAGCACATGTGAGAGGAGATCAAACTCTGAGACCTGCTATGTTATTAAAAATGTCAACTTAAGCCTTGTAATACTAAATAAACACGTCTAAATATTCGTCGGGGTTTATCGATAAGAGTATTTTAACTGTCATATAACATTCGTTGTTCTTGTATCGCAACGAATTAGTTTCAAGTTCAATGGAGTCAATGACAAGTGGTGTAACTCCATCCCCACCGGTGACGCCTCCACCTGAATCTGGCGGCGGTGGCGGAAATGTCAGCAGTGAGGTGCCACCACTGGATCTGGCTCACGGTGAGGAACCGCAGCTATCTGAACATCGCTTCTCTTGGCCCATTGTACGGAGCCTGGCGACACCAGCAACACCCTTCCACAAAACTAATTCGGTTGAGGCACCACTGTCACCATCGGCCTTTCGTGGCTATCTGAATAACCGTAGCGAGCATCTCGTTGACGACGAAATGCGTCTACCGCCATCACCGCCTGTTGGAGAAAACGACTTTCTTGGTGCGGCTGTCGCCTATGGGCACGGTAAAGCGATTGATAGAGGCTCCAGTTCCGAGCAGCACCAGCAAAGACAGTTGAGTAAGAAAATGCGAGCCCTCAAGAAAAAGATCCAGACGTTCGAGGTAGCCTTCGAAGCTAATTGTGGTCACCGCCCATCACACGCCGAAAAGATGAATGACGCACAGTGTCGCGAGCTACTTCATGAGTTTACAAATCTCCGAAAGGAAATGAAAGGTTAGCACCAAACGTTAGAGGCCGCTAAAACGTAACGGTAAAAAGCGGTGAAGTGTTAGTACAGCCCGCATACGCAGTTGAATAAGTTCTTCGCTTAGAAACCATTTACTGCTCATGTCAACAACAATTGAAATCTAACGTTCTAAAAAGTCATTATAACATCTTGCCAGTGTAATAATAAGACCACGCCGGGTTTTCTACGTGGCATTTATTTTTCGTATATATGATGCAAAAACCCTAATGTAAAGTACGTGTATTTGCAGTTCTACAGAACGAAGAAGATGCTCTCACGGAGTCAGTATGTCTCAACTGGCAGCGTTTCTGCCCCCTTGAAGGCCGGGAGCGGCTGGAAAACCTCGAGCGCGATATGAATAATACACTCTGTAACCTGGCAGATCTGCGGCGGTGTGCTTGTCGGCCCGAACGGGTAGAGGTATGAGCAACGTTTGTCATCCTACCAGTCGCATTAGTGTTAGATAAGGAGTTAGGCTGCCTTTTGCAGTAAACCATATAGTTTAACAGTCTCGAAATGGTCTTTACGATGTTATTTCTTAAGATACGCTTTATTTATATTTTACGGAGTTAGTAGGACACGTACTAGGACAAAGTTTATTAGTTACTGATTTGATTATTAGTATAAAAAAGAGAGTTGATATTGCCTTCAATATTGCTGCTGACTCCAAAAATGAGTCAGCAGCGCCCAAATCACTGTGCCTGAGTGAAGTTTGTATGAAATGAGGAGAGAAGTTAGCTACTCGTCAGTTTGTTTTTTTCACCCCATATAAAATCTTAACAGACACTAGCAGCCAAACGTTGTTTTTTATTATATGATATATACGTAATATACGTATATTCCTGCATAGATGTCTAGTTCATCAGCGTCGTTGTTTCTCATCTATTCGGCGCAACGGGACATCGAAAAATGATAAGCTCAAAGCGTAAGCCTAGTAATTTCGCTTCTTATAAATCCTTATCATTTACGCTTTCGGAACTGTTTTTTAGTGGTCCCTTGTAGTTTGACAACATATGATCGCTGAGTTAGGTCGTATATTGATTTGAATAAAGTCGGTATTGCCGTATGATTACATGCTAAAATGGGCGTTATTTTAGCCCAAGTATCATTGATTTGTGCCATTCGGTTTGACTTGAAATATAATATTGGCAATAACATCTACCTGTGTGGCTTCCGTTTTTCGTTGTATTAATAGCAGTAGATTCAGGTCATAAAAATATAATTAATTTGGTATAAATTAAGGAGCTGCTTCGCTGAGTACGTCCACTTAGCATTCAATCTGCTTAAATAGTGTAAGAATATCAACCGTCGTTCCTGTTAGTGTTCCCTAGCTGGTTTTTGTTAGTGTGCCTTCGTATCCAACTCTACATACGTACGTAGTCTTCATTAGATACTAGCTATCTAGCAAACATTGATTTATTTTAGGTTGACACACAACGGCTTATACGCGCTGGCTGAGGCTCGTAAGTCGACTGCCGAACAAGGCCGAAGGAAAACAGGCAAGGCCTGTCTTAGAGAATAAAGGACTTCTAAAAACGCTGCAAACCGCGTCCATAGTATAGATCTACATTCTTAGTTGTGCTTTGCATAATGCTCACTAATTATTAATGGTCATCACCGAAATGTATTTTTCTTATTGGGGAAAAAAATTCGCTGCTTCAATTATTTTTATGGGTTAGTAATTAAAAATGTTCACGTTTCTAATAGTAATTCAATACTTAACAAGACTAGTTCATCGGTCCAGGCAACTGGTCCGATGGCATGGCATGCAGTCTTTTGGGATTATTGGTAATTCGACGTTATCAGTAATGTCAGTACTTTTGAGATTGCTGAGACACAGATGTACGTCCATCGTAAGATACGTAGTCATTCAACAAAGGTGGGCCTTTTTATTGTTCACTAAGCTCCTAAAACAAAATTTGCAGATTTGATGCAAAGCTGTCAGGTTCATGCTCTGTGTAAAAAGGCGCCAGGATCAAAAATCATAAAAACTAACTTGTGGTACCATCAGTAGCAAACAAAGGTCAACGAATGCCCCAGTGGCCAAAAATCCTTCTAGATTATTTTCAATTTGAAGTACATGCGTTCGAATCATATGTGGTTGAAGGAAACATAAAGCAGATGCGAAGAATGGAGCTAAACTTAAACTTTATTCCAAACGATCCAGCAGAATCCTGTACTATCATCAGCATTTTTGCTGTCGAAGCAGTCATCCTGTCCCTTTTAAGGTTAGGCAGGATTAACAGATTAGACAGGTTGATGACCTAGCTTTTGAATCTTGTACGCAAGCGTATATTGCAATGAATATATGTTTCGCATATCTTATTTATATATCGCGACGGAAGTACAGTAAAGAGCTAAAGATACGACAAATAGGTCGAGGTAGTCCCACGCTCATGCTGGTCTCTTCCCCTTCTTAGGTCCTTGTATCCTCGTGATAGAAAGGGCTGGGTTCTGGGGCTTGCGTATTTTGTACTAAGCTAAGCAACTAAGCAAGCTATAGAAGTAGACCTATTTTAATAAACTAGATATTTTTCCTCCGCATCTGTCTAGCTTGTTCTTTATAGAACTGTGAATATTTCAACCCAATAAAAGATAGTCCATTTTGTTATATTTACCAAATAAATAAACATTTAGCACCTTCGTTATGCTTGTTAAACACGCTGGGTTCAAGAATGCCGGTTAAGATTGGTCTATGTATCTCAGGCAAGCGCTGTTAACGCATACACGGTGGGTGGCTTGCGATGAAGCGGCGATCATTCCCAAGTAAACATAGCAGGAGCAGACAGCCAAATTAGCTCAGTATTCAGGCGAAAAGCAGACGAATCGCAAAACGTGCGTTGGGAAGGCTTATCTGCCTCGTCAGTTTTCCACAAGAAAAATTTGTTTATTTACCGAAGACACTTTTGCCTACGAAAGCGTCGGAAATTGTACTATATTAATAAAGATTCGTCATGCAATCACGACAAATCATTGATCGACCCATTTGGGAAAGTGATTCAAGTCATACTGGAACACACAAAACTGCTGTAATAGCGCCGAATTTTTAGTGAACACATATACTTGGTTTGGTGAAAGGCATTGATTTGCTGCCGTTGCATCACCTTACTTGTCAGCAGCGTGTACACTTAGCTCGTTATTCGAGAAAGTGTCTACCGACTCGTTCGTATACGTCACGGTCTGCGGTTTTACTAATATTTCCGTCAATGGATTTCGTGATTCGATACCTGCCAATATACTGCGCTAGAGATGTTCTAGGATCACGTGCGCAGTACGACCATCTACCAACCAGTGGGCAAAGCCCCTGGTGAAACATTTTACAAATAGATGGGTTCAAAGTAGTGGGTTATGGTGATGTCTGCGGCAAAGTTAGCATGAACGTGTAGCCATGTTGCATTCATGACTTTGGTTTTGTACTAAAAATTTGGCAGTAAAAGACTTAAGTTATTAAAAACACAGAGAGTCTGATTTATCCTTCGCTTGAATCGTCTGTCAGATGGCTTGACAAACGACTGCAAAACAAATGAAGAGTCAAATATTTTCTCATGCGGTAGGCTCATCTGTATTATTAACGATAAGTAGCAAGGTGTTATTCGTAACTAGAAGCATTCCGACATTTGGCTATGATATGATGAAACATTGATAAAACTTTTCATGAAATTCAGCCACTGTTCCGATGCCCTCTTGAACCACGAATGTCTGTTTTGACATAGTCATCTGATGTCCAGGTCAACGGATGTGCCGGCGTTGTACTGACTACAGAAAAATGTTCGACGTCAACATAGAGGAGCAAGCAGAATGTTTCTCTTTTTCCTAAGAGCTGCTGTTGTGTCCGCATAGGTTATACGTGACCTTCCGGTCCAAGCACCGTGTGTACCTGACTCTTTTACTGACCCACACAATAGACCAGCGTAGTGCAATAGACATAATACCGATAATAATTCGATAATAGCGCTAGCTACTCTGCCCTCGTTTAAAAGGATTCGTCAAAGCAAAGAAACAGCAATGATCTATCTGGATCGCTTCTGTGTCAACGGATCGTTTCGAGGAACATTTTTGCTACGCTAGAAAATAAACGCTATAAGAAAGTTTAACAAAGGGTCAGGTTTTTTTTCAATAATAGACACGATTAAATTAAAGTGGCTCGTGAAAAACAAACGAAGGTTCATAAATTAACTACCGAACGCAAAAAGCCTTTTGATGATTTTATTAGGATAATCCACTTGCGAGGTAATTTTACGTGGTCATTACAAGGTATGAGCATTGTATTTTATCGGTTCCTTAGATTATTAGCTCCCCTCCAATTATGTAAAGTTTCCTCTAAAATATAGAGTGCGAATTTATAATTTTTTTGTGGATTTCAAAAATATGCACCGTCGTAAAACACATCAATCACTACTCAAGTATTACCATAAATTGCATAACATCAAACGTAGCGATGCTACATCCTCGCAAGGCGTTTATTTAACAAAATTCCGGCGATAATTATATAACTTGCCGAAAACATGACCACGATAAAATAAAAAAAAATACATGCCTTATAGATACTGCAAATCAAATGCTAAAATTCAATATTGAGCAAATTCATGTTTGGAAGTAGGGAGTTTTGGAGTAAACGAATAATCAAAATAGTATTAAGCTATTTATAGACAGCAGTTTCTATTTATGATAGCCTTCTTCCAGCAGCCGAAAGCAGAAGACATAAACAATGTCTTCTGGTTTCAGCTGCGGAAACCTTCTTCGATTTGTTCAAAAAATTAGCCAAAGGAAAGTCAGAACAAGAGTGTTTTAAAGTCCACATGTATATTATGCACATGACAAATTAGGTTTTCAAAACATTGTATATGCTACGGGAGAAGTTACAATTCGGGGGTCCCGCCGAAACAAACCAGTTCAGTCGCAGAGGCAATATATCTGCAGTGTGAAACGGTATGCTTATATCAATAACTTGTACGATAATGGTCTCATAAAATTCCTGATAGGGCACATTTGGCGCATTTATGAGGCCAATGCCTCCACAAAATACATATTAGTCTATTATTTTTCAAGTTAATTCATTCAAAGTAGAAGTTTCGAACAAGTCATGTAGAGATTCGTACGCAGCTAATTTCTAACCTATAAAGCAGTTGCTTCTTTCGCTCCGCAAATTGGCAAAGTTATGATTTATCAGATATCTTTGTTACGTGTTGTCTAACGTTTGGATCAGGTGACTTAGGGAATTCGTATTTGCCAATTTATGAACTATAAGTTATACGTCTTATAACTATAAGCAGGCCCCGTTGGAGTTCATATTCGCAGAGAGTATTTCTACCTACTGGGATCTGTCGCCATCTTATAGCAAATGGAAAAAATATCAGCAATGTGGTATTTGACCGGCTTATTCTGTAGTAACATGCACCCAAGTTAATTTATTTGCACTC